CACTGCACATTTTGCAAGTCTCTCTGACACAACAGGTCTTGGATTCTCATGAGCTGATGACCTGAACGTCGTTGAGCACCACTGTTCTAGCGCAAGGACGTACAATCCTGCTCATGGAAGGCCAGTGTTCTCCAGAGTTTAGCTTCAACCCTCAGAGACACATCAAACACATCTAATCCAGCTGATCAAGCTCTTCAAGATTACTAGAAAACTTCCAGACAGGTGTGTTGGAGCTAAACTCTGCAGAGCATTGGTCCTCCAGAAACAGGATTGGACAACCCCGTTTTAGGGCATTACAAGTTAATAGAGCCCAGTCAGAAGTCTCTGTGATAATTTGGGGCCAGTTGCATAAACAGTCACCATGTTAAGACTGTGTCTTAAGAAATAGTTTGACTAACTAGCAGTTAACCAAGTGGTTATCAGTCTTACTTTTCAGATTCAAATTAGACCAATCTAAGTTTTTATGCAACTGACTTTAAAAAGGGTTAACAGTCTTGCAGAATAAAATAGGTGTCTATCTTTTAAGACTAGTCTAAGCAGTTTATGTAACTGGCCACTGGTCTCTAGATATGGCTTAGATCCCTCCTTTAGTGTAGGTCTATAGGACTTTTATCAATTTTATTTCAGTGGAAAATCATAGAACTTCACTTAGAAATTTGATTAGAAAAGTAATAGCACACTTCTCCCTTAATAATCTGTACAATTTTAACTATTCATGTCCAGGCACAAACAGTGTGGGGACAAAGTCCTGAAGTCTACTACTTAGAGCATAGTCTTCAACCCTGCTCCTGAGGACCCACTGTCCTGTCGAGTTTAGCTACAACCCCAATTAAACACATCTGAAACAGCCCATCAAGGTCTTCAGGATCACTTCAGGATGGCCAGGTGTGCTGAAGCCGGTTGGAAATAAAATTTGCAGGACAGTGGGTACCCAGGAGCAGGGTTGAAGACCTAGGACTTAGAGTTAGGTATTTGAACTAATCGTGCAATCAACAGTAATAGTGAAGCATACCATAGCACACACAAATGTAGATGGCATGTCAGTACAAAATCTTGATGCACTCATTTTCTGAATACATGAAATACAAACATTTCATGTTTCACATTTAGACTTTTACCTGTCAGAAGGAAAGGTGATGAAGGGACGGCCAATTTGTTATAATTCTTTTTAGATTGTTTATGGCAGCTCCTTTAAATTTTTAAGTTAAAGTTCATAGCAATTCCTAAGACCTTTGTGACTATTGGACTCTGGGGTGCACCTGCATCTGGCCAACAGGCTTACACTGCTGCACAGGGAGGAAAACACAATTTTTGTGGAAGTCTCAATTAAAAAGAAAAAAAAGACTAAAAAGATGTTTACTATAACTCCTGGAGGACTACTATCTTGCAGGGTTTCGCCAACCCTAATTAAATACAACTAAACCTGCTAATCAAGGTCTTTAGGATACAATAAAAACGTCCAATGCAAGTGTGTTGGGGCCAGCTGGAGATAAGTGCTGCAGGACATTAACCTCTCCAGGAGAAAGACTAGACACCCCTGGAATAGCCAGACTTGCCAGCACAAAAGTGTCGAAACCGGTTGTCTCACTAAGCCAGGGGTGTCCTGGAGGGCTACTGTCCTGCAGAGTTCAGCTCCAACCCCAATTAAACACACCTGAACCAACTAATTAAGGCCTTACTAGGCATACTAGAAACTTCCCGGCAGGTGTGTTGAGGCAAGTTGGAGCTAAACTCTGCAGGACACCGGCCCTCCAGAGTTTGGACACCCCTACACTAAGCCAAGGGTGTCCAAACCTGCTCCTGGAGGGACAGTGTCCTGCAGTTTAACTCCAACCTGCTCCAATAAACTTGCCAGGAAGTTTCTAGCAATTCTGAAGACTTTGATTTGCTGGTTCAAGTGTGTTTAATTTGAATCGGAGCTAAACTCTGCAGGGCAGTGTTCCTCAATCTTATCCTAAGAACTCTTAGGAAGTAAAACACCAAGCTGCTTTCAATGGTTCTTTAACTTTTAAAGCAGTCATTTGACCCTCAGCATGTGCTTCAATGCTTAAACTGATCCACTAGACGTGGATGATCTCACAACACATCCCACCTACAGAGGGTGTGTGAGAGACTGAAAAGGCCACCTATTGTTTATACAAAGCCATGACCTCAACACCCTCAGAGTTTACAAGAAAATTTCCAAGTTTACCACAGCGTATTTCACAGTCTCCTCCTAAAGAAGTGGTCAGTTTTCACATACTGTCCTGCAATCTTCCAGGGCTTGGGTTAGTTCTTTATTTTTAGACCTCGACACTCTTGAGCATGCTGACTGAGAATGAAACCAATTGTGCTCAAACCAGGGTGGGTGCGAGATCTCAAGGACCATAATTTAGTCACTTTTTCATAAACAAGGGAGACTGGGAAATCTTGCCAAGTTCTCGGAAATGTTGCACCACACACCAATGCCAGATAAAGCAAAACTGGTCAGGCATTTGACCACACAACAATAACACATTCTCAAATGCAACAGAAATAAATCGTGTTTTATGTTACTTCACCAATTGTTTGTTTATCTTCGGTTTGAAGTAGCTCTGCCAAGAACAATATATTTAAAGATATATCTGGGCTACAGAAGTGTTTGCGAATACATGGTTTCTGTAATAGGCTATGTGCTGTTGCCAATTTAGGGCCACAAAAATGGTTTCCATATGTATGGTGACCAACTTCACCTGATTAACCTCGGGGTTTGTCATAGGACAAGAGCAATCAGACAAAAAGCTTGCAGTTCTTGTCACTATGCCAAAAATACAAATCGAAATAATGCTCCCTTCTAGTGCTTCCAGTAGACTAGTGTAAGATCAGTGAATACAATCATCTTTTAACAGTTAAAGATATGGTCTTGTGGTTTGAGGGAACTTGACTGCAAACTCATTTAAAATGGCTGGAAATCAGACCTGAGTGCCAGGAAGGAAAGGGAAAAAATATAGTCTTAAATACCCTATGTCACTAAAGCAGAATACAAAAGATGCTCCGCAAGGGTACAAAAGGAGGATGTGCAGCATTTAGCTATTAATAGTGGTTTACAAGAAATGTGCAGTGTGGCAGCTGTTGGGATGCTACTACAAACATCCTGTGGCAGTTGATATATGCACCTGTCCAGAATTCTAAGTATGAGGAGTCCCAATATTTAAAAAGTATAAAAAAAATTGCTAATGTAAAAGTCTCATTTCAGGATTAACGTCAGCATGAAATAATGATTGTTACCCATTTTACTTTAAAAATTCATAGTGAAACAAGATTTCACTAATCACTTAAAACACAGGCGGCTGAAAGTGGCCTTGGTGATGTCATCAGGAAGAAAAGTAATTTCAGGGTTGGGGCAAGTTGTTACATTATGATGAAATATTGCAAAGACAGATTTGTTATCTTTGGAATAATGTACACAGAAGAATCGTCACAATAAGACCAGGAGCATGTATAGGGTTTCATTTTAATTTCATGTTGGCTTCAATCTGGCCCAATAAACAGCTACTGAAAGAGAACCAGGCAGATGTTAACCACAGGAGAAACTTCACAGATCAGAATAGAATGATATGAAAGGCAGAAACCCAAAGATGCTGAGAAAATGTCAAGGAGATACACCACATGCGCAGATGTTCTGAGAACATTGGGTTCCTGTTCTGCCGTCCGCATCCCACGGCCCTGTCTGCTTCCTGTCAGGGTTGCTGTACTAGAAACAGAGACGACCTTTGGGGCCTGGGCTCACTTAATGAGGCCTGAAAGGCTGGGGTGAAGGGCACATTCTCTGGCCTCCGTCCAGCAGAAGGTCCCAGGATGAAGGGGGTGTTAAAGGGACGCACAGCATGAGCAGAGTATTATTTATCGTAGTTTGATGCGTGACGTCAAATGGTTTCGAGAAGCAATGTCCAAAAACATTCTTTCAGCATAACTTGCTTCCTGTTTTAACTCCCTTCAGTTAGTAATTTAACTTTAACTAATTAGCCAGTGTAAACCTTCACCAACCTCCCAACCTATTTTGAATTAAGTACTCAGTTATGCTTCAGGGTGAACTGTATTTTTTTCAAGCATTCCCTCTTTAATAACATCCTCATAATGCTGGGATTAATGAAACCTTGTTCCACTGGAATTTTCATGGGAAATGAGAATAGTCCGAAACTCCAGCCCTCCAAGCCTGTATCCAGGATATACACACAAACTCTAAGTGCTGGCGTTGTTGCAGACGTCACGCCTTGCAGTATCAAGGCTCTGGATCCTTTGAACATAGTGGCAGGCCAAAGGCAGACTGAACGACTAGTGACCTTTGACCTCAAAGTATACCAATGGTCCAGAAGACATAGAGCTTCAGGGGGGAGCTGGCATTAGGGTCCAAAATGAATACTCCCTAAGTGCCAGATGAATAGAAATACACTTAACTTTGAAGTCTGGGCGATACACATGGAATATTCTTCAAATAAAGGATTTAACATTCAATTATGCCACTAATATGTCACGAAAATTTAACCCACAGCTAAATTTCTTTCAAAAAATCTTACTGACTACAAATAGTAGTGTATAAAGCACACTTTAAGTTCATATATAAAAACATGCATAATTAACACTGTTAATTATAATATTTAGCAAATATCTATTAATATCCATTTTATTTTTAATGTAGACAAAATACTATATATTTTTAATATTGGCCATATATATCTATAATCTAAATAATAGATTACAACTAAACTAAATAATGTGTATATATATATATATATATATATATATATATATACAGTATATATATAGCCTCATTTTATCTATAACTCTCTGTGGCATTTCTCCATATGGCGAATAATAAAACTCACAAAAATACAATCTTCTGGGATGCAATTGAATTCACAATATCCTCCAAAGCATAACTGACTCAATGTAGTCTTTTATTGTTTTTTAAGATGGTACACCGTTTAAATGAATAAGCAATTCATGTCACTACCTTTAGATATAGGCTCAACCCAAAACTGCAGCAGTCTCTTTTGTAGAAACATTGAGATTCCGAGGAATACGTCAATTCCTATTGCACATCAGTCCAAAGGAGTGGCTTAAGAAAGTCCTCAAAAGGATAAGTTAGAAAATGGGAGACTCCTGCTTAAAGCAGCGCAGAGAAATATCAATCCGAAACCAACTTGCTGGCCGTTATTCAGTGGCTGTTACCCCTGAATACAAATCATCAGACCTGTCGGCCAATGCCAGTTTAAGACATAAAACCCAGGTTGTGAGATTTATAACCGATGGGTGAACAATGCAGGTCAGGGACCCCTTTACTTGACCAGAGATCTCGGTAAAGCAACTGCTGTAAATGTTCTTTCAGAAAGCTCAGGAAGCACTAAAGTGCAGGAAAAACATTCATCTTGTGGCACTTTTCCCCATTCTACTTTCCCGACACTCAACGTGCAATCAAGCTAATGAGAAATGCACTCAACTTATGATGTATGCAAGAGCAGAATCCCTTTCATGTGTATTGTAACCCCCCACAAAAATGTATTAGTCATAAGCATTCATCCTTCCACACTCTCTTTTTTTTTTTACTTTAAAACGAGTCCTGTATTTTCCCACTAGGTTTTCGGTTCAGTCCTGAAGAGGAGGGGTTGCTCTAAAAATGGGTTTTTGCTCTCAAAGGGCTCATCTGGGTCCTTCAGTGCTGCATGAAACAAAAGCTGTAGGTTTAATTTGTAATTCAATTTAGACCGTTGTCTGTGCAGTCCGTCCACCTCTTAGTCTCCGCCCTGCTCTTTGTCTCCCTGCTCCCCGTCCATCAGCAAAGCCGCGTATTTACTGGCTGAGCTGAATTTCTGTTAAAACAAAAAGGGGATAGTGAGACGTAACCAAATCATTACTGCTATTTGAGGTTAATATGTACTTTACAGTCTCAGGTGATTTTCATTTGAACTGTTGTTTTGACTGCTCTGACAATGTGAGATACTGAGATTTTAAGAATCAAACTTATGTTAGTGATGGTTTGTGCCTATGATTGGTTCAACCAGCATAACTGGAAGTAATCGGCATTTAAACCCTCTGAATATATATCAAGCATATGAAAGCCATATGGATTTTTCTTTTCTACAAAATGAATTTTTTTAAGTGTTTTAGTGCCTTTCAAAAACTATTTATTTTGAGAAAAAAAAGGTCCAACACATCAATAATAATGAATTGTTTGGTACAATGCTACAATACCTGCTACTGAGGTGGGATATGGTTAAGGATAGGGACAGATTTGGTGGTATGGTTAGGTTTAAAGGCGGGTTAAGGTGTAGGGGTAGGGTCAACAGTGTAATTATAGATGCAACCACAGAAATTAAATACTGATGTATTTTTAAATATCAGTTTAATGTAAAGTCATATATATGCACACAATAAATGCATTGCATCAAAAAATTGATTTAAATGCATGTAAACAGTATAAGTGGGTCCAAAACAATATATAAATAAAATAGCCTATATACATTTTTATATATAAACGTCTGAGGCAACACATGAGGAAAAAAAACCCCTGCTTCTTAGCTAACAATTAGCAACTTCCCAACCAGGTGCCACTATCCACCTTATTTTTCAGAAGTAGTAAATAAAAAAAAAAAAAATGTACAAATAAGATAAGTAGGCATGAAAATCTATGCTTACAACATGAATGTCTCTTACTTTATGTTGATTTAAAGGTGAATAGCACAATTACAATGAGGTTCTGCAATTATTTGTCATGCGTTTCCTTAAAGAAAAAAATTAGATGAAAAAAATACAGAAAAAAAAGTAAACTTTTTGGAGAATAGATTCAGGAAGGCCCTAAAACACACCTTTTAAAAAAATAATATATTAGATAGAAACTGCACTGTAAAATAAAATATTAGGTCTGCTCTGTGGATAGCTGAATATCTATAGCCCTGTTTGCAGGTGTAAATGGAAAGATATCTCCATCGTCTACTTGTGATCCAGTCGACCAAAGCTTAATACCAGGTGTAAATACCAGTACCTCTGAGCTATACGGGGCTAGACAAATTTTTAACCTCTAACTTGCTATTCTATGTTATACTGGATCCAGGAATACCGGGAGGTTAGACCGTCTAAACGTCCTCAAGAAAACACTGTTCACCAGTTAACTCAAATACTGGCCCTTTAACACCTGGTTTATTTTTAGGTCTGTTCCATCTGGTCCATTTATTTGGTTCATTTCGCTTACCATGAAAACCCCTTCCAAATGGAGTTCTGACTCGATGTGTTTGTTTGAAAAGTTCTGTCACGGTGAAAATCCAGATGGACTCTAGTGTGAAAACAGACCTGAGTGGATCTCAATTACGCAAGTATTTTTCTTTATTCAGAAGCTGCTGTAAATGATGCAACAGACCACAGGAAATTCCTGCATAACTCATATTGAGAACTTCATTCAGTTATAGATGTATATATCCACACACCTTCAGAAAATTCAGCATGGAAGAACATTTACATCTTTAGGACTGATCTATAATTCAAACATCTTTATGAGATAAGGTGGTGTCAAAGAGGGTGCCAAATGTACAGGTGCATCTCAATGAATTAGAATGTCGTGGAAAAGTTCATTTATTTCAGTAATTCAACTCAAATTGTGAAACTCGTGTATTAAATAAATTCAATGCACACAGACTGAAGTAGTTTAAGTCTTTGGTTCTTTTAATTGTGATGATTTTGGCTCACATTTAACAAAAACCCACCAATTCACTATCTCAACAAATTAGAATATGGTGACATGCCAATCAGCTAATCAACTCAAAACACCTGCAAAGGTTTCCTGAGCCTTCAAAATTGTCTCTCAGTTTGGTTCACTAGGCTACACAATCATGGGGAAGACTGCTGATCTGACAGTTGTCCAGAAGACAATCATTGACACCCTTCACAAGGAGGGTAAGCCACAAACATTCATTGCCAAAGAAGCTGGCTGTTCACAGAGTGCTGTATCCAAGCATGTACTTTCCAGAAGGCCAACAATTCACTAAAAATGTTTTTTTTTTATTGGTCTTATGAAGTATTCTAATTTTTGAGATAGTGAATTGGTGGGTTTTTGTTAAATGTGAGCCAAAATCATCACAATTAAAAGAACCAAAGACTTTAAACTACTTAAGTCTGTGTGCATTGAATTTATTTAATACACGAGTTTCACAATTTGAGTTGAATTACTGAAATAAATGAACTTTTCCACAACATTCTAATTTATTGAGATGCACCTGTAATGTTTTCAAATACATGCATGTTTTGGAGAGGTTTGCATGACTATTCTCAATGTTCCATCTTTTCCTTTCTATACTACAGCTATAATTCAAAGCTAAGATCAAAATTATGTGTCTAGACTCAAATAAATATTCACATTTTTCAAGTAACATATCTTCCAAAAGAGGTCCATAATTACAGTCTGTGAGCAACATGTAATTTCCATTACAGTGAATGACGCATCTAAAAAAGGCACTAGAGAAAACTTCCATTCAAGGATTGGTGAGCAAAGAAAGCCAGAAGTAAAAGTAGAGGGAGCGGGGATCATGGTATCACACCCAGAGAGAGTGTTAGCTCTGTCACTCACAGGGCTGGGAGGCTCCTCAAATTTCTTTGGCTCTGGTGCTGGTCTGAGGTCTCGTTCTCTTCTCACATCCTTTCTACAAGTAACGCACAACACAGTGAGACAGAGTCTCACAAGAACCTCTATACTCATTCAGAAAAACTCTAGAGCAGAGATTTCGATCCCAGCATGAAAAAATCCAATTGCCAATATTTCAATCAACATAGAGTTGCTTGATTATGGCAAAACCGTAATCACAACTATTTTGGTCAACATATGCTAGCTATCTGTCTCAGAGTGCGCACACAAAGTCGCCTAGAAAACAGTGTGAAATCTCTTAATGCGCTTTTTCTAACTTTTTTATATCAAGCACGATTCGCAGCAAACTGCATTTTATAGCAGTCACATTACATGATTTGGATGTTAAGTTTGAGCTTTTCAGAAGCAGGACAAAACCACTAGAGGTCGACCGATATATCGGCTTTGCTGATTAATCGGCACCTATAGTTGATTGCTGGAACTATCTGCAAAAATCCATGCTGATAGTTTTTCCGGATTGCGTCCATTGCTGGAGTGGCTGAGAAGGCTCCGCTGTCATTACACAGTATGAGAGTGTGGTCCAACCTAGCTATCGGTATCGGTGAAATCCACTATCAGTCGACCTCTAAAAAGCACCATTGTAAAGGAAAGGAAAGTGCTCTGGAGACAAAACCAGAGCATCACTGCAAAACGGGACATGGCACAATAATTGTTTTATCCTGTTTTCATAGATGATGAAAGCCAAAATTTTAATCTAAATAAAATTTGATTAAATCGCACAGCCCTAAATTGATATTGTAAAACAGTTTGTAATTGTAATTGACAGTTTGTAAAAACTCCTTCTATTTGTTGTTGAAATGAGATCGAAGTCCCTGCTCCATTCGTTCTCTTGTTCCTCAGGCCAAATGCAACTTGCCCAGCGATATCTGCTATTACTGTTGAGCTGAAACATGTTTAAACTGTTGTTTTATACAACCGTTAGTTTAAGTCATTAAATACAATGGGTCAAACAGCCCACTGACTTTTCACTGTTTGTATCACTCCACTTGTCTTAAGGCAGATTGTCAAACTGTATGTTGGTGGATTTCTCAAGTGACTCTTTCTCACCACAAGTGATTGATTTTATGATTGAGTCACTGAATTATAATTCAACTGATATAAAAAAAATATATGAGTAAATATTTTTTTTTGTTGTTGAGACTGAAAAGATGCGAATGGACACAGTGCTCTATGGGCCAAACTAGAAAAGAAACACATTTGTCCAACCACCACCCTTATAATTCAAAAATGCTAATAAGAACCTAATGAGAATCTAGCAAATATACTAAATATATCTTTCCAGAAGGAAGAAAGCTCTCTACACTTTTGAGCAGTAGGGGTGCCAGAGAGCAGCTAACCTGTCTCCTGTCTCCTGTCTCCTTCCTTCGGTCTCGGCTCGCGGTTTCTCCATGCCCCCTGCCTGTTCCAGAGCCCGAGGCCCTACCACGACCCCGAGAGGGGCCCCGGTCCCGGTGCACCCCATCTGCTTTGTTTTCATCTGTAAGGAGAGCCCAGTGTTCAGCAGAGGACACTATGGACAACTCTACTAATAAAGGAGCTGCATTAGGCTGTAGGCTTCTGTAAAATCTTAGAGGACTTTACTGCTTCTTAACGGAACATTTGGAAGAGGCTGTTTTTAGGAAGGGACGCTAGTGGACATTTTCTCTTGCCCGACAACTGGAAAAGAAATACAAACCCCTGTTGTCAATCCACTACGATATTTTATGAGTTTCCAGTTGTGACTTGTGTGTGAAAATAGAGTATATGCATTGACTTCTTCTTTTACACCTTCCACCATTATTTCATGTCTCGATGGACCAGGACACTTATAAGCTTACCTTTATTTCTTTGAGGAGCATCAGCTAAGCTTGTTGCACTGAAAAATAAAGTACATAAAAAAAACTGAAGTCAGAATAATTCTAAAGAGCTCTCTCTCTCTCTCTCTCTATATATATATATATATATATATATAAACTTTCAAAAGTTCGGGGTCAGAAAGATTTATTTTTTTTTAAGAAATTAATACTTTTATTCAGCAAAGATGTATTAAATGTGACAAAAGTGACAAAAACTAAAATGATTTTAAATGAATGCTGTTCTTCAAACTTTGTTCAAAGAATCCTAAAAGAAAAGTATTACTGTTTCAGCACAAATATTAAGCAGCACAACTGTTTTCATCATTGAGATTATTAAGAAATGTTTCTTGAGCAGCAAATCAGAATATTAGAATGATTTCTGAAGGATCATGTGACACTGAAGACTGGAGTAATGATGCTGAAAATTCAGCTTTGCATCACAGGAATCAATTACATTTTAAAGTATACTTACATAGGAAACATTTATTTTCAATTGTAATACTATTTCATAATGTTAATGTTTTTATGGTATTTTACGGTGTCCTTGTTACACGTTACATGTACTTTCTACAGTAATAACAATAAATGATTCATAATTACATGCAACTAACCCTAAACCAAACCCTCATCCTAACACTAACCATACAGTAAGTACATGTAGTTTATTAATATCACTCAGTACTTAAACATATAATTACACTGTAATAAGGACACCGTAACATCACATATTTTTTAAAAACCAAGTCAAACACAAAAAATCTAAAACCTACAGACCCCAAACTTTTTACGTAGAGTATTTTAGATATTATATAATATATTATACTGAAATAATTCTAACAGTCTTTGAATTATAGCTTTCTATATATAACATATCAATCCAGACAGAAACCTTTTGGGTGGCGTGCTACTGCTGGGAGAGATGGCAGGTTTACTATCACTCTCATTGGATCCTGCACTCATGGCGCTCCTCTTCGCCCAAACGTTCTCCTTAGGTGGCGGCGCTGGAACAACTTTCAGCGGCAGCCCCTCCTGCTTGGAAGTAGTAGTCTGGTTTCCATGCGAGGATGAATCCTCATCACGGCTGCTGAAAACCTCATTTTCTACAGAGCGCTCACTCTCCCGACGCCTCGGAGCTGTTGAGAGAGGGGAAGGATTGGACTCTGAAAGTTTCTTTTTAATTAAAAAATCATTGCATATAGTGACAGTTAGTATGACGGTAGATTTTCTATATGTGTCAATTCATGTCTTGTTCACATCAGACCTGTGCATAAGGACCAGTCAGTGATCACTTACCCCTGCTCGATGTGTTTCCTGTTTGTGATGACTCACTTCCTGTTCGTGAGCGCTCAGTTGCTTGGTCCTCACTACGCCAGCTGGGATGCCTGAGTGTATTAGAAAATGAGAGTGAAAATACTGTTTAGAAAAATTAAGTTCTCTTTTGGTTTGTTACTAAATTTCAGGAACTTGATATCATCACATTTTTTTTTTTGGTGGTCGATTTAATTACGAATTATCCATTCACAAAATCAGATTAATATGCAAAAGAATTATGTATTCTGAGATAATAACGCATTAATTAATTTGAATATATTTATAAAGTCTCAAAAATTAATTGTCATGAGAAGAGAACATTGAGTTACAGGTCATTGTTTCAATTTATATTGATTCATTTTTAATACAAACTTGTTAATATTTATATAGCGTAGTTCCAGATTAACTCCATTTTATGAATAGTTCATCGTCTAGCTATAACCAAATGCGACACATTTATTAAAAATTTATTATTTTCATTCATTTTTTAAAAATTATAAAATATAAAAAAAGAAAAAGTTCATTCATATAATTATTGGATGCATACATCTGTTAGTTCACCCAAGAATAGAAATTCTGTCATCATTTATTCTATAGTGAAACACAAAAGAAGATATTTTAGATAATGCTGCTACCAACATTGTTTTTTTTTTGTTTTCATACAAATGAATGTCAATGGGAACCAAAACTATTTGGCTATCAACATTCTTCAAAATATATTATTTTGTGTTCAGAAGAAAGAAACTCATACAGAACTTCAACATGATAGTGAGTAAATGATGATAGAATTTCCATTTTTGGGTGAACTATCCCTTTAACTATAAAATTCAATGTTAAGAAAAATGAATAAAATGTGTCCATGTATGCTGTACCTCTCTCTGGGCTTGCGTTCAGGTCCTCTGCTTTTGACCTCCTCCAGCTGCCTCTGCAGTCTATCTTGCTCTTTCTTAAGCCTCTCCTCCACCTCTCTTTCTTTAGCTGCCGTGTCCACCGGTTTGGCTCCTCCGAAAATGGACGCAGCTCGTCCCGATGAGACTGAAGGGCCGCTGCTCTGGCCTTCCTCTTTGGGAACACTGCGGGGCTTCAGGTTCAGCTTGGGCCTCTGAAGGGGACCTAAACACAGATGCAGTACAGACTGTTTAGATGATCTGATTCAAGGTTTGGTTCCTGGAGTGACCCAGATACATGTAAATGCACAGTCCCACCACTGTCCTCGTGCTTCTCATCCCGTCTCTCGTATCTCTCTTCACGATCACCATAGCGCTCCCCGCTGCCCCGACCGTCGTCCCGCCGGTCGTCATAGTCGCGCCGAAAGCCACTTCCAAATGGTCGACGACCCCCACCGCGAGAATCATAACCTGAAATAAGGTTAAGGTAAGATTAGGTTAAGAAAGACTACGAAGGTAAACAAACTCATTTGTTTTGAATGACCAATGCAAAGCCATTTCTAAGGAGCAAGGCCCTGTTCTGTTGTACATGGACAACCGAGTTGGATTTTATTTTTGTACTTTTTGACACAATTGTTCTGTTCTTCTAAACTCACTTCAGAGTTTTCATAGAAACAAGTCCACAAGTCTGTAAAAGGAATTAATCCAAGCCAAGGCGCCATTTTTGTCAAGGGGAAACATAATTTACTTATAATAGAGCGCTGACAAATGGCCAAAAAAATGCCAATTTTACACAATATTTATTCAGAACTTATTTAAAAACATCGTTCAAAAGTTTGAGGTCAGTAGGATTTTATTTTCTTTCTATTCATCAACGAATCTTGAAAAATCACAGCGTATCACAGTTTCCACAAACATATTAGGCAGCACAACTGTTTTCAAAAATGATAATAATAAAAAATGTTTCCTGAGCAAATCAGCATATTAGAATGATTTCTGAAGGATCATGTGACACTGAAGACTGGAGTAAGCTTTGCATCACAAGAATAAATTAAATTTTATGAGAATCTGTTAATTTTAAGTTGCAATAATTAGGGATGCACCGAATGTTCGGCAACCGAAATTATTCGGCCGAAAATAGCAAAAAAAGCTTAAAAAATAAGCGAAAAGACCGAATAAATTGTACCGAACAATGATATGACGCGATCAAATAGCAACCAGCGCAGAGTGAGAGGCGCGCACTCTTTGTTATGCAGCACACACGTCAGCAGTGTGGAAGCATTTAAACTGTCGGAGAAAGATGCAAAAGTCATTACAAGCACCGACAGCGAGAGACTGCTTAGTACTGCATCGCATGTCTTCAATGAGAAGAGGAAGGGGTGATTGTTGCTGGTTACTGTATGATGATTGAAATCGCGAAATGGCCTTAAACAATTAGTAAATAACTGGCAGAACGTTATGTTTTCTAATACACGCGCGCATTGCATGTATTCTGACAGCGCTGCACAAGCTCGCGGTGCTATCTGCTCGTTAGCCAGGGTTCAAAGTCCAAAGCGTGAGGAAAATCTGCGCTGATACAGTCGTCAGTTGCTCAGTCACATTTTTATGAATTTTTACAAGGCATGTGACAATGCGATACGTACGACGTATTCGTAATGAAACTCATTTATAAATCTGTTGTCAACAAAAATAAATTCAACAAGCACTGAGGTCTTCCTGTGCGTTTCCGCCAAAATAAAAGTTGAGAAAAAGCAAGAATTAAAGTACTTTTACTGTTGTTCTGTAAAATAAAATAAAAAGTAAGACAATAATAATGATAATAATCATTACAACAGCTCTGTTTTAATACATTTATTATAACGTTCACACATAGTGTTCAAATTAGGATCTGTAATATTTTCTAATGTTTTAAAAGAAGTCTCTTCTCAGCAAGGTTGCTTTTAATTGTACAGTAAAAAAAAATAAAAATACATGCCTGATTCAAGAAGGGGGTCTGATGGCCAAAAATTATAATTTTACTAACGTATTAATTTTAAGTTAAATTGTGCTTTGTTGGTATAGTGTCTGCTAGAATGTTAAAAATGTTCAGTGTTAAATATTTTTAAATAGTTGTTTTGTAATTTATTATTTTTTTTTTTTTAAAGCAAGTCAAAACAGTAAAAAGCACATTTTGGCTTTTTAATTTATGCAATGGTGAAAAAACAATTGGCAAAATACATGGGGGAAAAAACTCTAAAAACCGTATTCGGCCTTCGGCCCAGTGTTTAATTTTGTTCGGTTTCGGCTTCGGCCAAGAATATTCATTTCGGTGCATCCCTAGTAATAATATTTCAGAATATGACTGTTTTTACTGCATATTTTATCAAATAAATGAAGTCTTAGTGAGCATGAGATTCTTTTAAAAGCATAAAAAAAAGCCTTATTGACCCCAAATGTTTAAACAGTAGTGTATATCTGAAAATAAAGAGTTCATTATCCATTCTCAAGATTGCTGGCTGAATTTGGAACTGACACTAGGGGACAAAAAGTACCCAAACACTCTCAGTCTCAACATGACAAATTTTATGCTGGCATATTTCTCTGTCACTAAAACACATTGCTGCAAGTCCAAGTGATTTGTCAGAATTGTAATTTATGAAGGTGTTATATACCTCTGTCGTAGTCTCTGCGCTCTCTGTCATCATAACGTTCCCGGTATCTGTCTCTTCCTCCATCATAGCGGTCATTGTCCCACCGCTGGCCGTCACGGTAACGGTCTGATTCATAACGATCTCGGGATCCTAAGAAGTGAATCACACAATTCACACAATTTTCTGTTGCAACATCTGGAATATAAAATATTTTATTTCTAAAATACTATTTTATTTTACTCCCTCTTCAATGCTGACCAATAACCAATAATTTAATAGAACGTCAAATACAATATAATAATCTTATAATACATATGTTTAGTAGCCTACTACTTTTCCAAAGCTTTACTGTAGCTCAACTACTTTAACAAGACAAGAAGGGTTTTTTTTTCTCAAACTAGAGATTCAAAGTAGTTTCCTCCTATACTCTTTCTTCAACAAATATTTGTCAGATGAAATAATTGCTTACGCTCTCCAAAAGCTTCGTCCCTGCGTGGACCGTCATCAGTGTCAGATTTAGGCCTTGCCCGCCAGTCAGAATCAGTCTTGTCTGGGCCGAAGTCTCGCTCACTACGGTTACGATCCCGCCCGGATGAGGAGCGCTCGTCTCTCTCTGATCAGGAAAAAAAACAAACATTATTGCGAATATGAAAATAATTTTTTTTTCCCTACAATAATAGATTCACAACTGCATTATACTGCATATAAACAGACTGGTTTCTCAGAACTAGTGTTGTTTTTGGCGGCCTGTTTTAATTTTAGTTTTAGTCTAGTCTTTGTGTGAAGCTGTCATTAGTTTTTATTAGTTTTAGTCACGTTCATATTCTTTTTAGTCTAGTCAAGTTTTAGTCAACTAAAAGTCTGAGCATTTTAGTCTTATTTTAGTCAGAATTATCCATGACTATTTTCGTCTAGTTTTAGTCGACGAAAACTGATGACATTTATTGGCGACATCAGAAATTGATATTATATAATAGATGTTTTTTTTGAACATTTTAGCAATTTAAAAATATTAAAAAAGGATTTTTACACAGCACCCCGGTTGGGAAACACTGTTCTAAATAATGCCCCGAGTGGGGCTTGAGGAAGTGACGTCGCCTGCGTCTGCGCAGTGCGACCTGATGCAGCCCCTGAAGTGAGACACAGGAAACAGAAATACTGCAAAATAATAATAACGCGACTAAACGAGACGAAATAATAGTTTCGTCTCGTTTTGGTCAACGAAAATGAAGAGACATTTTAGCGTAGTTTTTTTTTGTAAACCACATTTAGTCTCGTTTTTATTCGTCAACAATATTGCATTATACATTTAATTATAGTCATCGTCACATGACCAGCATTTACGTTGCGTCTCGTCTCGTTTTCGTCACGTGATAAAGGTTCGTTGACGACGATATTTAGTCATAATTTTCGTTGACGAAAGCAACACTACTCAGAACCACACCTTTCTCATTGGACTGGTCAGCAATGTCCACACGGATCCTACGGTTTCCAAGGTTCTAGAAAGAGAGGAAGAGAAAGGGTTAATTACAGAGCTGAAAGCTTGTGTCTTCATTTTGGACAACTGTAACAGATAACTTGCGCCACCATGTGGCAAAAATGAAACTACCAACAACACCAACAGTAAGGTCTATCATTCAGAAGCACACAGGTCTGTATATGTTATTGACAGACATACAGACAACAAGAAGGTGAATTTTCACATGACTGACAATTGGATCTCACCTCTTCATTGAGACTTAGTGCGCACAACAGAGACTCTATGTCATCAAACTCTGCATAGCCGAAGCCTTTCAGCCGTTCTGGGTTACTGGGCTCCCTCGGGAGGCGAACAGCACTGATCTGTATGAATAAAAGCGATATATTTAGTTGTTCATATTTCTCATGCTTTACACTATGGGCTAGAAAACTGTGCCACAATTCTTCGTGCTCTGTTTGTAATATTATTTAATGTGTCATGGTGTCCGGATTTTTTTCACTATCTTGCAGTATACATTGCTTTTTTTTTTAAGATGGAGTTTGAAGTTAAATTCATTTAAAAATTGTAAATTAATCAAAGTAAAGTTGCATCTCAAGACCTCTGCATTCTTATTCATTCCATTACATCAGTTCTGCACCATCACAGAGAAATCGGATTTATGCCAATTTAAACAGCCTGCATCTTCCTTAACTGAACTGCAGGACACACACACACACCTATCTATCTATCTATCTATCTATCTATATATATACACTGAACCAAATTATAAACGTAACACTTTTGTTTTTGCCCCCATTTTTCATGAGCTGAACTCAAAGATCTAAGACCTTTTCTATGTACACAAAAGGCCTATTTCTCTCAAATATTGTTCACAAATCTGTCTAAATCTGTGTTAGTGAGCACATCTCCTTTGCCGAGATAATCCATCCACCTCACAAGTGTGGCATATAAAGATGCTGATTAGACAGCATGATTATTGCACAGGTGTGCCTTAGGCTGGCCACAATAAAAGGCCACTCTAAAATGTGCAGTTTTACTGTATTGGGGGGTCCGAAAACCAGTCAGTATCTGGTGTGACCACCATTTGCCTCACGCAGTGCAACACATCTCCTTCGCATAGAGTTGATCAGGTTGTTGATTGTGGTCTGTGGAACTGCATTTATTTGATCAAAAATACAGTTAAAACAGTAATATTGTGAGTTATTATTATAATTTTAAATAACCATTTTTAAATTTATTCCTGAGATGGGAAAGCTGAATTTTTAAGTCACTACTCCAGTTCTCAGTGCCATTATGAATGTTTTTACTGTAATTTTTGATAAATTTAATGCATCCTAGCTGAATATATTAATATAAAAGTATTAATTTCTTTAAAAAAATATTTTCAATGGTAGTGCAAATAACAAAAAATAACAATACACAATGCAATATTGAATAAAAAATATTCAAATCTTTAACTGCTATACTAGAACTGACACTACTAATGTGGTAAAAACATTTTTAAAAAATTAAGTTGTTTAAAAATTAATTTAGAGTTTTTTTCATTTGAAATTATTATTCTAAATAAACCTGTTTTTATTTGTATTTTGTACTGCTGAACTTGTAATGACATGTGAAACTCATCACTACCAAAATTAAGAACTAAAAAAAGTTTCAGTTTTTTTTCTTCTTATAACTAATCTAGAAACACATGTTGATGAAACTCAACTGTGCTCTGAAATTTTTTCTTCATGCACTATTTACCACAAGATGTTGTGAGACATGCAAAATAGCACAAGTTGAAAACCCTCAACGATGCTGTTTGGCAGAATCCATGTTAACAACATACAATGCATATGAGAATTCACATGAACATTCCTTCTGCAGACTCACAGGAACAGAGGAAACTCACACTGAGTCCACGGAAGAAGTTTTTGATGGATTCTTCAGTGACGTCGTAGGGGAGGTTGCCCAGGAATGCGGTGTAGGGGGGACTGCGGGGCAGACGGGAGCGGTCGATGTTGGGCTCACGGGCGGCACGTGGAGCCGTTGGCAGAATGGACCGATCGATAGGCGGCGCACGATACACGTCATCTTCAGTGTGCCAGGATGTAGTAACTATAAAAGAAGAGAAGCTTGATAAGGGCCCAAAGAAAAAAAGTAACAGTGACCAAAGACTGTCAAGCTCCGAAAAAAAGCATAATAATAATTTAAATGACTCCAGCATTACATTCCAAGTCTTCTGAACCCATATGATAGCTACGTCTGAGGAACAGACTGAAATTCATTCAAGTAATCCAACAAAATTTGAAATATTAAGGTGTACTGCCAGGTTTGCCATGGAAAACACTTCTGCTTCTTGAATTGAATGAGCAGTAATGGAAATGACATTTGAGAGCTACAGTGGAGGGGGATCTTAACAAATATTATAATTATCATTACTAACAACCGGAATAAGTCATAAGGTCCACTTTTATGGTGCTTTATTTGAGCTTCACAGCCAGTAGTCACTTGATGCCTTTATTGAATGGAAAAGAGCAGCATGAACATTGTGCAAAACGTCTCATTTTGTTGTTCACGGAAGAAATAAAGTCTGAACGTTTGGGACACAATAAGTGTTGTAATGACAGAACTTTCTTGTGAACTGTTCCTTCCTTATTTTTGCCTTCTCTTTTTTTCATAATAAGCGTCACTACTAAATTTAATCTATACAAAAACGATACAAAAAATGTCTTAAGTAACTAAGACCTTTATACTTAACTGAAAATGAATTATTCACCCCAATGACCAGTACCGGTCTCAAGGGCTGTGCCAAGTGTGCGACTGCACAGGGCCTCGCGCCTCTAGAAGGCCTCGCTCCTGGCCTGCATTTTATGTCGTTTATGTCTAATTTTTATTACTGTTTTTCCACCCATTTTGTCCTTTCAAAGACTAAAATAGTCATAGCTGATAGACTGTATAAGACTCTGTGTATAAGAATGAGTAAAGCTGTTTGTTGTTAGGATGACAAAAAGTTTTAAAAGTTAAACTTTTAGGCTGGTCAGCCTCAGTGGTCCAACAGCGCTCGTCAATGTCAAAATGATCGAGATGGCCAATCAAATCAAAGAAGGCGGGTCTTACTGTCACTGTCACATAACGCAATGAGAGTTGCAAACTAGAGATGCAAACTACTCAACTTTTTATGAAATTTTGCCGTTTTGAATTGAAAATATGCGATCATGATTCATGTAAATTATAAATGAACGTGACAAGAGACGTTTGTGTTTTAGACTATTAGACATACGAATAAGAGTGAATGTGCACATTTTAAAATAAAATATTATTTTCAAATAGTGTAAATTGATTACTACTTCATATGAAGAGTTCAGACGCAAAAGCCTCTAAGTGCCATTTGAAATTTTCTTATAAAATGAGCATTTTTATCAGGCTCCTATATGTAGGTTCAGTCATTTCACTTTAATGGCAATGGATAGTTTCTTTTCTTTCCCATTAAAGTAAAATAACTGAACATAAACATAGGAGCCTGAGAAAATAACCATTTTAGAAGAGCATTTTAGATGGCACTTAAGAGGCTTTTGCATCTGAACTCTTCATATATAACTACAAACCTAGAACTTATTTTAGCATTCTAATTTACTTATATAATTGCTTTATTATTATTATTATTATGCAGTAGATCTTACAATTCTTATGAGCGTGTGCGTGACCGTGATTCGTGCGCAAGCATTTCAGTGAGCACGGCATTACAATCGATCAGATGCGTGTTAAACTATAGCAACCTCCCCCCCCACACACACACACACACACACACACACAAAATTGCTGAGGGCCTCGCACCCCCCTTGTGACGGCCCTGCCAATGACAGATATATATATTTTTTTAATCCTTATTTTTTAAGCATGTGCGTTTCCCTAAAGGTTGTGACACACCAAACCAAAATCAAAGAAATAGTGGTGACAGAAGCTGACTGTGTTGTTGTCGCCTCTCATGTATCCAGGCTAAGAAGTTGCGCTTACACACACCACAAAGACTACAGCCAATGACCAACTAGCAGGTACGGTCTGCACCTGCGTGAGAGGAAATAACTGTCTCTATCAGCAGGTATCAACAGTCTTTATTCGTCATTCAAAAAGGGGAACCAAAACTAGGGCTGCATATATACAACATGTAACAAAGCAGCACTTGCCATTCTAAATATGAATAATGTTGATCACTTTCTTTATTCTAGACAGCTCATGTCTGGATACTTGTGTACTGGAATGCTCAGGTAAGATGATGTAAAACTAGAACAGCCTTCTGTCTGTCTCGTCTTGACTTCTTTGCTCACTTTCATCACTTTTGCTTTTATTCTTGTGCGCGGACTTGTTCACTAAATTGAACAGCCAATCAGAGAGAGGGTCTGACTGGTGCATACAGTACAGAACACAATGCAAAAACTAAGCTGACAGATGCTCAACGATGGCCTGATGTTGGCTAACCATCAGCTTGGTGTGGCAGGGCCTTAAATTTATATTTATTCATACAACGGTTCTTTCTGGTTCTCAAATCTGATTGGCTGAGAGCCTTTTCCAGGCGTGCAATATTCTAGTGATAACAGAACAGAACCGTTTCACCGTTTGTATCCGTATGTGACTTCAAATATGCGGTTTGTTAATAAAGATAACATCTATTTGAAAATTTGCTTCAACGTTTTCGGAAATGTGAGCTCCAGGGCTTCGGCGGCCATTCAGCGCTCATGAACCCGCCGAGAGCAGCCTCACCTCGGCCAGATCTTCTGGAATTTGCCGCAGACTCTTATGTCGCGATAATGGTTAAACATAAGATATAATTTGTTTTGGGTAAATCTAACGGGCAGTCTTTGGTCTCATGAATCTATTATTTGTTTCAGAGCAAATAGTTTTGGCTGAGGGCAAAGTCTCATAAAGGTATATTTTATATAATAATGTGGTATATCAGAGCGCTGCCTTTGTACTTTTGACTGAATTGCCTGGCAACTTTTATGATGGCTGTTGTTTGTTGTTTATTAAATATTATTATTTATATTAATAATAGTAGTATTTAATAATAGTATTTAGTATTGGAAAACGGTGTGTATGTTCGTGATGGTGATTTTAGTTACATTATTTCGCCATTAGATGGTGACAAGAGACCGTTTTTACGAGTCTGCAGTAAAGAATTTTATATTGAAAGAGACTGAAACAGGGTTGCAAACAAGGAAGTTCTTTTTACTTTCAACAACAGCTTGTAAGACACAGCCAACAAATGCAGTGAGCAGTGTTGTTATCGGAAATCACTAGGGCTGGGTTTTGACACAAATTTCACGATTCGATTCGATTCTCATTCACAAGCTTGCGATTCGATTCGATTCGATTACCAATTCAATTCGATTCAATATTGATTATTTTGGATATATATCAGGTACAGTACATACCAAATTTTCTCAAGGAAAAAAAAATCTCTCAACTAATGCTGTAAAATATACATAAGAGTCAGTTGGTACTACATTACTATAATATTGAAGGTTAAAATTAATGTTAAATTAATTAAAGTTTTTACAATAATAAAGTTACAGTTACATAATAATATTTCTACTTCAAATCGTTTTTTGAAATATAAACATTTAAATGGTGGCTGTCATAAAAACTTGATGGATTTATTCAAACATAAATTAAACATTGAAGAACAGTAAAAATGATAATGAATATGTTATATGGTGCATATATTAAGCAAAATGCCCCTCTCTACAGTTTATTTTTTGATTATGAGTTATTAATGAGTTTATGGTTACCGAATATGTGTTTTCTGAGGTTAATGTGACGTTACATGACATATTGTTTAGAAGCCATTATATTGACGTCTTTGCATGGCTGAAACACTGATTGAGCGATTACATGAGACAGGATACGGATTGTAAAGTTGTACTCTTTCTTTTAACTTAACTTTGGATGTTTAGTCATGATTATTTTGTGCTGAAACTGGTATTGATGTGGAGGAGATGATCAGTTCATGTGCGCCTCGCGCTTCCTCGTCTGTTGAACTGAGGCGCTACAGCGATCTGTCACTCCACATTAAACAGCGCCAAAACGGCATTTATTGTTT